CAAAGTAGGTTTACTTAGTAGAATTTAGAGAATAGAGTGATTATTTTTAGAGAAAATTTGGTACAAGTGATCGTCAGAAAGAGTTAGTGATTTGTGTCCATAATCACCTCAGGCCCAGATGTTGCTCTGGGCTCGATCTTAATTTTTTTAGTTTTTAAAATATTTGTTAGCTTTAGTTGTTTAATTTATTATTGTTTAAATTTTAATTTTTAGTTTTAAGATTTATTCATATTAATTTTTTAATTTTTTAGCTTTCAGACCTAGGCGCTACTCTGGGGGCTTGGTATTAATTTTTTTAATTTTAAGTTTTTTAAAATTTAAAAATTTATATATTTTTTAAAAATAGTTTATATATATTTTAAAAATATAATTTATATATATTTTTTTAAAGTTTTTGATATTTTTTTTAATTTTTTAGTTCTTAGGCCCGAGCATTGCTCTGGGTGTGCAGTCTCAATTTTTTTATTATTAAATTCAAATAAACCTAACTTGGGTTCATTTAAACCCAGGTTAGGTTTATTTAAGCTTCTGTTTTGGGTTTGCTTAGACCTGAGTTTGGGTTCAAGTAGACCTGATCTGGGTTCAAATGAACCTGAGTTAGGTTTACTTGAACCCAGGTTAGTTTTACTTGAACCTGAGTTAGGTTTAAGTAAACCTGTTTTAGGTTCACTTGGATCTGGGTTGGGTTCAAGTGAACCTGATTTGGGTTTACCTAAACCTGTATTAGGTTCAAGTGAACCTAATTTGGACCCAGTAATCTGAATTGGGTTCACTTGAACCTGTCTTGAATTCAAATGAACTCGGATTGGGTTCACTTGAATCTGACTTGGATTTAAATAAACTAGGTTGGGGTTGCCTGAACTTGAGTTGAATCTAAGCTAGATTTATTTGAATAATATATCATAACATTGTATATATATCATTATGTTACATATATATTATAATATTATGCACAAACTACTACACTAAATATAACATATAAGTTATTTTTGTATTATATATATATATATATATATATATATATATATATATACATATATATATATATACATAAATATATACATATATACATATGTATATATGCTTCCAAGAGTTTAGAATAGGTATTTTTGTATCTGTACTAAACTTTAATTCTTTTTTTAAATGGGACCCATTTACAGGATCCTGTTTATTTATATTATTTTAATTAACTTTATTAAACAGGGCCCTGATTAAATAGGTCCTGTTTAATATATACTACAGCTATTCTGATTAAAATTAATTATGGATCTAAATTATATTATATTGTAATTTAATTATAGATCTAGTCATGCCAGTAATACTTTTCATTATTTAATTGCTAATATAAAAGTTATATATGTATATACTTATGCATATATACAATTTTGTATTTTTATTGAACCTATTATTTTGAAATAACCAAACTTAATCAAAACAGCTAGAATACCATTTGGTTACTTTTTATCAGGTATTTCAGCAATTATGAAAATAGCAGTAATTTTCAAAAAATCTTTATAATTTTGGAGCATCAAATAAAAAATTTGCCTAATAATTTTTCGGCCAATTCAATTAAGTTATTGATTTCAGTAATGATCTTTATAATTATAGTAAGATAATTTTATTAGAGAATTTTAGAACTAATAGTTTGGCATCAGATTTCAGACAAAATAAATAACATATTTACATCAAAATATGTAATCAATAAATCCTATTTTTTAACATATAAACTTATTTATTTAATCATTTGCTGGTAAATATTTATTAAAACAAAGTTAATTTTATTAACATATTTATTTATTTAATTTATTGAGTCAGAATTTTAAAATTGAATAAGTTTATACTTTAAAAAAATAGGATTTATGGATCACATATTTTGATATAAATATATCACTTATTTTAAATTAAATGAGTTTAAATTTATCAAAAAATAAAATAAAGTTTATACATTGCTTATTTGCAAATAAACCTGTAAACAATTATAATTAAAATTAGATTTCTGCATTTTAACTTTAAATCTCCAATTATATAATATAAAGCTTTTAATTAATACTCTTTTTCCCCACATTAAATGACTAACTTTTTCTCACATATCAAATAACTAACTTTTTTTTTGCATATCTAATAACTGATTCTTTGATGTTCTATAAAATAGATGAGTAAATTTCGCAAACTCTGCAACTCTGCTATTAAAAAATTAGTAATTACTAATCATTAGTGAAGCTTATTTCTCATAATACCCACCTATTCTATAGAATATTTGATTCTTTTTCTATATATCAAATGATTAACTCTTTTCTTATATATCAAATAACTGGCTCTTTTTTGCATATTAAATAAATAACTCTTTTTTTGTGTATCAAATAACTGACTCTTTTTTTATATGTTAAATAACTGTCTCTTTTTTTACATTTCAAATAACTTTCTCTTTTTTTCGCATGTCAAAAAACTAACTCTTTTTTTTACTGTTTTTTTCACATATCAAATAACTGTCTCTTTTTTCATATATCAAATAACTGTTTCTCTTTTTTTGTGTATCAAATAACTGTCTCTCTTTTTTTGTATATCAAATGACTGTCTCTCTTTTTCTGTATGTTAAATGACTGTCTCTTTTTCTGTATATTAAATGATTATCTCTCTTTTTCCACATATCAAATAGCTGTCTCTCTTTTTTCATATAACTGTCTCTCTTTTCTTGCATATTAAATGACTGTTTCTCTTTTTTCGCATGTAAAATAGCTGTCTTTCTTTTATTTGTATATCAAATAGCTATCTTTCTTTTTTTGCATATTAAATAAATATTTCTCTTTTTTCGTATATCAAATAACTGTCTCTCTTTTTTCACACGTCAAATGACTATCTCTCTTTTTTTACGTGTCAAATGACTGTTATTTTTTTTTGCACATCAAATGACTGTCTCTTTTTTTTCTATATGTCAAATGACGTCTCTCTTTTTTTTTTAGTCAAATGACTGTCTCTCTTTTATTTGTACGTCAAATGATTGTCTCTTTTTTTTTCTACGTGTCAAATGACTATCTCTTTTTTTTTGCGTATCAAATGACTGTCTCTCTTTTTTTTTGCACATCAAATAACTGTCTCTCTTTTTTCTGTATGTCAAATAACTGTCTCTCTTTTTTCACACATCAAATAACTGTTTCTTTTTTTTCACACAACAAATAACTGTCTCTTTTTTTCCATACATTAAATGACTGTCTTTTTTTTTTCACACATCAAAATAACTGTTTCTTTTTTTTCGTGCATCAAATGACTGTCTTTCTTTTTCTGCACAGCAAATGACTATTTCTCTTTTTCTATGCATCTAATAATTGTCTTTCTTTTTTCATATATTAAATAACTGTTTCTTTTTTTTGCGCATCAATAACTGTTTCTCTTTTTCTATATATCAAATAACTGTCTCTCTTTTACTACGCGTCAAATAACTGTTGTCACAGGTTAATCAATGACTTTCGTCAAAGAATAATCTAACCCAGATAGTAGGGCACCAATAATTAGGCACTAAGCAAACCGAACTCAATAAGGCAGGCAAGTGTTTTTACTATTACTTTATTTATTTATTGAGAGTTATTTTATTACAAGAGCAAGACTAACTAAAACTAACCAACTTCTTAACTACTATTACATTTGCTTTACTTATATATACTTTGGGTTATATTACTTAAATCATAATTTGCTCATATGATCATACGATCATTTGACTCTTATATTATTGTAATTGATCTTATTAATGATTTTTTAAAATTATTATAGTATCTACCCTGGCACTTATTAATATATAATTAATTATTTCGATAACCTCATAATTCTGATTGATCATGTGCATTATGTGCACAAGTTATTTATTGATTGATTGCTTATTACCTTATTTTCATACATATTTAACGCATACTATATATCACTATAACATGAGCTAAATCCTCCAGAACTTTGTCCTGAAGTTTCCAACTCCTTTTGCATACTTTTTCCAATGATATCGTCAACATTACCAAACCTACTATTATAGTTACTTTTCACCAACGATCCTTTTCCTCGATCACATACACTTCTTATTATTCGATCGCTACTCCCAATGTCAAGTTGTACATTCGAATCATTATCTGTAGTAGGCTCTCAGTACCATCCAATAATTCCATTATTAAGATTCCTAAAATTCGTATGCCAATGCTATTTGGACAAATCCATCGGAGTCATCATCTCTCAACACTTTTAACAGATCCTCCACTATCTTCTCTTTTTCTAGAACTATATCTATTTTAAGCTTTGTTTCAGTGAATTTAACATACAATGTCACTTTACAACTTGGCTTAGGTAGGGATTTGAATTTCTTATTGTTCGTTTAATGCATCTTACTACTATTTTTATTAACCACCACATTTATTTCTCTATTTTCATTAATCGTTTCCTTCTTCACATTAGCATTTATTACTGACTTCTCTGCAACACACCCAAAGTCATTAAATCTTTTTCAATAAATGCATCAAGCATACTTTCAGGTTCTCTTTTATCAATCTGATCGGATTTATCAAAATCAATCAAACTAATCTCATTATCGACTCCAACTTCATCACCAGTTACTTTTCCTTGATCACAATAACTGACATCATATATCCTATTACTACACCAGACATCTGCAGATTCACTATTGCCATTCCTCATATCTGACAACAACCAGACGACTTCAGCTTCCAAGTCATCCAATCCTCATTCATCTACCTCACCAATTGATTCATTACTTTCAATATTATTTTCTTCAGCATTTTCTGTCTCTAATCTAGCTTGATTAGAATCGCTACTTCTGATATTTTCCCAAAATATTTCGATTAAACTTATATCACGATTTGGTGCAGTGTATTTTGGATCCTGTTGGATGCTTTGCTTTCATTGTTATTAACACTTTTGCTAATCATCACACTTATGTCTCCACCTATTTCAATCTTTTGTTCTGTCAACCCATCACTTTTGTCCATATTTTTAATATTCATACCTTTCTCTTTCTCTACGTTCATGTAAAACAACATCAGGTTTATCTTGTGGGCTGTCGATACTAATTCGTTGCAAGATGGGCTGGTAATCTGCACAGGTTCTTGTATCACAGGTTAATCAATGACTTTTGTCAAAGAATAACCTAACCCAGATAGTAGGGTACCAATAATTAGGCACTAAGTGAACCAAACTCAATAAGGCAGACAAGTGTTTTTATTATTACTTTATTTATTTATTGAGGGTTATTTTATTACAA